GCTGGGCGCTTCCCCTCCCGGCTCCAGCTGCGCTGGGGAAGCGCCGGCCGGGGGCGCAGGGTCTGGGGGCTGCCCAGCAAACCGTGAAGCTGGTAGCGCTCGGGCAGCCCTTTCTGCATGGCTGGGAGTGGGAGGGAGATGGGGGCGGAGTTAGGGCGGGGTTGGGGCAGGGCAGGGGGTGGGAAATGGGCGGGGCCAGGGCCCCGTGGAGGCTCCTCTTTTTTTATTTGTTAAATATGGTAACCCTAGGTACCAGGAGCACTGCCAATGTTGGCCCCGCAGTCCAGAGGCAAGCTGCCACTGGGATCTCCGCAGTCGCCCCTGACTCAGTACTGGTCTGGTTGAGGGAATGTTCCTGATGCTGTTTGCCGCTTAGCAACCATCCCGTGCATAGTCCACGCAGGTCGGCGTTGACCCCCACCAGGTTGTTTGGCTGGGTTCTGTCTGACAGAGGTTCCAAGCACCACTCCACCTTGAGGAGCAGATACCGACAGGACCGAGGCAGATGATGCCAAAGGTCCTTGTGTCATCAGGGCTACCGTAGCCAGTCGTGACATGAACATTGATGCTGTTCTCATTCATCATCTTGCTCCAGGACCCCACCCCGGCACCACTCCCATAGCCCCGGGCGTTGATTGCCGTCGCTTCGCCATCATGGATCTGCCTGCCAGAGCTGATCACGGAGCAGCTGCTATCGGCGGTACCATTCCTCCATGTTGGGGTTGTGGTCTTGTGGTTGGCACTGGCCCCAGCATCGCCCTCCTCCCAGTCCAGGGACAGTGGCAGGTTGTATGTCAGCCCAGCCTCCCTCCGTAGTCGTCCATCGATGGGTCAGGCCAGCCAAGCCGAACAGCCTGCTCCGCCGGTGCTACAGCAGGTGCAGTGGCACTGGGCCTCCTGGCCGGCACAGTGGTACCAGTGGACACCATGGCCCCTGACGCAGCCCCTGGTGGGGGCTCGCTTGGTGGAAGGAGCTTCTGAATGGCCGTCGGCCTCCCTCTCTTGGCCTCCGAGGAAGGAGTTGGTAGGACGCATGTCTTCGGCACCATGCCCAGAGAGCGACTAGGGGGTGGATCCTCTGGTACTGGTGGACACGCAAAGTACCACGCCTGTCTCCTCACCCTGACCTGATGAGGCGATTACAGCCCCTCTTCCCTCTGTCCCACAGGAGGACTCTAAAGCCCACCAGGAACTATTGAAAAGGGTGGCATCAAACCTCAACCATCAGGCAGAGGAGGTGGAGGAGCCCTCAGACTCCCTCTTTAACGTCCTGTCTGCCTTGGTACCAGGCAGGGTGGCCTTGCCACTCCACAAAGGGGTGGTGAAAATTTCAAATGCCTTATGGCAAGCCCTGGCCTCACTGCCCCCCATCTCTAAGAGAGCAGAACACAAGTATTTTGTGCCACCAAAATATGAAATATGTATCACCCATGGGTGGGGCTGAAATTTTGTATCTGACATTGTAGCTCCACTGTTATTTTATTGAATTGTATTAAAACAGCAAGTCAAGAAAGTCTCCTAAGTGACAGGCTCTCTGCCATGTAAACAGCTGCCGCTGCTCTCCAGAAGTCTGTGCATTCCACACAGCAAAGTACAAACCTGCTCTGAACTGAAGGGTTATCAGACAGTGACAGGGTTGGTAACACAAACAGTTCAGATTATATACCCTGCTAGGTCCCTTTATTTTAATCATTAACCCAGGACATGCCAGGCAACTGTTAACCATGGTGTTATCATCATCTTAAAATACCTCTCAGTACATTTAACAGAGGAAGTGAAACCCCCTCCCATAAATGGCTCCCTCTTATGGAGTTGTACCACACCTGCCTCTGGTCACTGGTTTCATACTGTCAAATCTTTTTCTCTCTAAACTCATCCTTATCCCAATCTATGCACCAACCTCCACATTTCAGAGTTTAGAATTTACTTTCATTACCCTAGTATGGTACTTTCTGTGTGAATTAGGCAAAGCAAGTTGGGGAAGCTACATGGGTAGTGAAAACCAATGCTCCAGGTGAGGCCTGAACTCAACCCCAGCAGTGTCCCCGCTACATTAACCAGTTGCACCACTGCAGGTGCTTCTTAGACAAAGTTAGGAAGCAGGCAGTTATCAGTCTCTGTGGTTCACACCTTTGCCTGGTAATTGAAAGGGTGATGGTTCAAACCTAACTAAAAATGCAGCTTTTCAGCAATGAGACTGCAGTACATTTTAACAGGAAGAAAATCTCCCTATTCTGGTCTAGCCCCATTTGACTACTTCTGGCCATCTTATTTGTCCCCCCTCAGTCTCTTTCCTTCCCCATTGGGGCCATGCAGAGAGGAGCCCCAGTCAGTCTCTGTCACAGAAAGTCTGTATCCCATAACATAGAGTGAGGGAGGGGTCACTCTAAAACATTGATAATGGGTGGGGGAGGGGTATGCATGGTTATGGGGATATAGGATGGAGAACTAACAGTGGGGCCCAGAGAGATTCCCCCAGATAGGGGAGATCCCCTGCTGCCCACCGTCAGCCAGCTGTGGGAAGAACAACTTGGGATTGCTTGGGGAAGCCACCTTTAAAAACACAAGTGTAACATGCTAATTATATTTAAATAATATCAAAGCCTCCTCAAACCCAGTGTCACAGTCACTGGAATGACTTTGTCCTGATGTTTTGTTTGCCAGCCGCAGCCACAAAATAAGTCAAATTACAGTTCCCGTTCGGAGTAATGCACACAGAAGAATCTGGAGGCTTTTAATTCCTTAGGTTCTGCCATCCTATGCTGTGGCCATTTCATTTCATTTCTATTTATCGTTGTGCAAAGCATCGTTAGGCCCTTGGGAGAGACCAGAGCTGAGGCTGCATTCATTTAACCTGCCAAAAAAACAGATTATTGTCCATGGGATCACTGTAGGGGGGCTGGGTCCCACTGTGTCTTTTCTGTCTCTATGACAGGTCAGGCTGCAATAACTGGGGCATCTGAGCACCCAGGACCTTCTGTGGGGCTGCCATTCCCCTTCCCCTTCTATGGTCTCATCTGTCATTGATTCCAGCCATTTTCTATCCATCATCAGCACAATCCCAAGCAAGCTGCACTCACCTCAAAAAGACAGTGTCCCCTGTTGAGTGAAAATCACTGACCTCTCTCCTGAGCACTGACTGCCCCTCTGTTTCCTTGCCTCTCAGTCTGTGCAGATGGGACCTTTCCCTCCCGTACCCTTCTCCTTTTTCATCCACCATCGGCCCAAACAGCACAACCGGTGGGAATCTTAAAAGTACAGAGGTGATTTAGGAGCATAAACCCCCACAGACCTTCCATGCAATTGGCACTTGCCCCTCACTGACCAGGATTGAAGCTCATGCACGGAGACTGATGGCTCTTCTGGGTGTGAGCAAAGCAGCAGGGTGAAAAGAAAATTTGGAGATGCTGGGGATTGAACCCAGGGCCTCATACATGCAAAGCATGTGCTCTACCACTGAGCTACATCCCCAGATGGACTTCAGAGTAGCAGCTGTGTTAGTCTGTATCCATAAAAAGAACAGGTACTGCTGTTCTTTTTCCAGATGAGCTGTGTGTGCTAATGGTTACATTCAGAGCCCTCCTGGTTCCAGCACATCCAGTGGCCTAAAAGTAGCATGGAGGAAACATTCCCTACTCTGAGGGCCAAACCTGCTGTCCTGGAGGTTGGTGGTTCTTAGGGGTCACTTGCAGCAGAGCCAGATTCTATGTGTGGGGCAGAGAGAGTGCATGCCCTGGACTCAGGGTGCAGAGATACACTCAGCCCTCCCCCCTGCATTGGGTGGGGGGGGGTGCTGCAATCCCCTGCTGCAAGGTAATTGGTGGGGGGTGCTGTGAACTACTCAACACCTGACCCTGGTGGCAGAAGTGATGTGGGAAGCTCCAGGCAGGGCTGGCTCTAACTTTTTTGCCGCACCAGGCAAAAAAAAAGAGCGCTGCCCCGCCGTATCCCCGCACACCCAGCACCACACAACCTGAAGCCCCAGCGCCACGCCGCCCGAAGCCCCGCCCCCTGCAAGTACCGCACCATGCCAGACCCTGCCCCCCAAGACCCTGCCCCCCTGAGCACCGCCCTGCCCCCCCAAGCACCACGCCGCCCGAAGCCTCTGCCCCCGCTCCGAGCACCACGCTGCCTGAAGCCCCGCCCCCCCTCCGAGCACCGCCCCGCTGAATAAAAAAAATAAAAATTAAAAATTGAGCGCCACCCTGCCCCAAGGTGCCGCCCCAAGCACGTGCTTGGTTGGCTGGTGCCTGGAGCCGGCCCTGGCTCCAGGTGTTTCTAGGATCTGCTATTTCCACCTGCCTGTAAAGTCCAGCTTTCCCCAGCACAATCACTGCAGTACAATTGGGTCACTGTTTCCATGGCTGTACAGTAAAGAATCACTCCCAGTTTCCCTTCTATCTGCAGCATGATTAGCCTGTGTCAGTAGTTAATGAAGTGGATCTAGTTGTAGATTGTTATTCATTCCCCAATTTAACAATTCAGACAGTCCCTTTCCTACTCAAATCCCCAGCACCTCAGTGATCCCGGTAGCAGGGGATGGGTTTTTCCTGAGGCCCTGAGATTTTCAGGGTCTTTTTTTCCCACAACCTGGAGTGAGCTCAGCTTTTCCCCCATCCCACACATTCCATGAAATAACAGAAGCAGCATAAAGAAAGAGGGGAGGGAACATCTCACTGCCAGGGCTGGATGTGCGCAAGGCCCTCTCCTCGTCCATTGTTTCCATGGAATTTGGCACCCTGCTTTGCACAAGGGACAGAGAAAGATCTTGCTGTTCCTGTGTCTGTGCAAAGAAAATTGTGTTTATGTATGAAAGAGAGACAGGAAATGGCCCCAGGGTGGGACAATATCCTCAGGATTAAGAGCAAAGGACTCAGGCTGAGAACTGATTTAACTCCATTCATCTCGGATTTAACAAATTGTCTTCCATGGAGACACTGGGAACTTATGACATTGATCCAGATTCTGGGGGTTCGGGCTGCTTTAACTCTTGGTAAGAATGTGAACTTGATTCCAAGAAGGGAGAGAGGAGAAGCCTGAAGCTGACTTTCATCCCAGGCTGGGGTCTCCTGGACGGTGGGAAACATCCTTTGCTGCTACCAGGGAACAGCAGGCTACTGGTGACATACCAGGGCTGGGATGAAAGGGGAATGTTGCATGGACTTTACCATACAGGCCCCATCCTGCTTCTCAGAGCCCACAGGAGAGAATCTAGAGATGGGCAAGTCATTTCTCAGAACAGCTGCTAGGACTCCTTCCTGCCAACTATTCACACCTCCTGCTTCCCCCCCCCCAAATGTTTCTGCTCTGAAGGCTCCTCAATGCTGAGAATGGGGAGGGGGTCACTCCACCATCTGAAATGAAAGGGGTGATCCTGGATGGAAAGGAAAGGACAGAAAGTGGTGAGAGAGAAAGAAACAGAAAAAAAACAACCTCTTCTCTCTCCCTTCCCCTCCCATCAAGAACTGTGATGAATGGGGAAACTCCCCTCCCCAGGAACAATGAAGAAAACAGAAAGAGATTCACCACAAACTGGACAGTGACAGACTTGGTTGCATCATGTTGCAGTGAGATAAAGAAGCTGGAATTGTGGGACACCGGAGTTCTGCTCCCAGGGATTTGAAACACTTGCAGCATTGAAAGCGAGCTCCAGGCTGATCACCAGGTGAGTCTAAATTAGCATGAAACTTCCAAGTGTGTCAGAAAGTCAGCCTTGGGTGGGAGAATCAAACTCTGGTCTCCTGTAGCACTAGCAGGGATACTCACCCCTATCTTACCAAGCAGGTAAGTAGTATAAGGGCCCTACCGTTAATCAAAGCATAACCCTGCCCCTTGACCCCTTAAGCCCCGCCTCTTGACCCCTTGGTCCTTCCCGCCTATCACCGGAAGTCCCACCCCATGGGGGTATTCCTTCCGGGGTTAAGGTGCCACCTGACCGGAAGCAAGGTGTGTC